TTTATTGTGCCTCACTTGTATTTATTGGGGGGGGGGGGGGGGGGGGGGGTAGTTTGGGTTTTTTTTTTTGCCTTTTAGTCTTATATTCTCTCCCCTTGATATTTCCCTTATTATTACTATTATTACTAGTAGTATTATACTCTACTTTAGTTATTAAACTGTTCTTATCACAATCCCTGATGGGGTTTACACTCTTTCAGTTCTCCCTGTCCTGCCCAGGGAGGGGAAAAGGAGGTGTGAGGGAGCAGCTGCCTGGTGCTGAGTCACAGGCTAGGTTTAAACCATGAGAAAGTATCAGGTAAAAACCCAGGTGCTTACCTTAAAAGGTATTTAATTTTAAATTACTGGCCCCATGAAATCAGTGTTCAGGTGTCTGTCTGTCTGCACTTGGTGCTGGCGGTGTTCGGCTCCTCAAGCACTTCAGCTGGGAGGATGTTTGCACCAGCAGTGCACATGCAGTGTGCACATCCTGGCTTCTCTATGGGTTTTGTGCTATAAATATAAAAAATAGCGCAGGTTTTCTACTCCTTGGTTATTCTCCAGTTATTTTGTCTTCAGATGAATTTCTACAGTCTAACTGAGATCAGGTTCTTCAAGGCTGTAGGAATATGTATTCTATATTTTACGTTTACCTTTCCAGTTTTCATATTTAAACTTTTTAGATGGCTTTTTCCCCTGTGTTCATCTCCCTTGGTGGAACTGGAGGTTTATGTGATGGCAACCATTGATTTCTTCAGCTGAAAGAAGTTATTTCTTGATCCCTCTCACTTCCCCTATGCTTCTCTCCTTGGTTTTGCATGGCTTGCTTGCTACTGTCTAATGTCAGGCTGTTTTCCATCTACAGTGGGGTTATGCCTTCCACATACGCATACTGTAGGTGTCTGTCTTTGTTGGTATTCCTGAAAAACATTTAATTTCTAGTTTCTGGATCAAAAGGAAAACAAAACTTGATTTTGTTTGCATGGGCTTGGCCTTCAATCCCAAACTAGAAAACTAAGCAGGTTACAAAATACCTATGGTTTTCTGCAGGTAGGGAAGATGCACTTACAAAGATGCCTTCTAAGAAAGCTGTGCATGGTGTCAGAGAAGTAGTTCATGTGAAAACAAAGCTGTAGGAAGTTGAGTCCAGAGGGAGATTCCTTTCCAGTGGTTTCATGGGAGACCCTTTGTCTTCTATGCCTGATGTTCAGAGATGCCATAGGCATAGTCAGATCTCAGTGAAGCTCAGCAACATCCTAGCCTGGTGCCCTGAAGAGAATCCACAAACAGAGAAAGAGTGCTTCTGAAGGACCCAAAAGGCAGAGGAATGAACACGAGTATTCCCCTGTGGCATATCTACTGCCTAATCTGTATTCTACAACTTGGCTTCTTCAGCTGTTTTACAACATTACTTGGTGACTTCCTGACACACTGTGACATCTCTTTGTATGAAAAGCTCCTGTGTTGTCATTTTTACCATGTCTGCAGCATGAATGAATTTTGTAGGACAGTCACCATTTGTTCTGCAAAGAGAATGTAAATCACATTATCTTATAATTTCTAGGAAAACATATCTTTGTTTCCTGTGTTCAGTTTCAAAACAGCAGTGGCAGCCCTTGTTATCCCATGCCTGGAAAGCACAGTTTGCATATATCGATTTTTTTTAATTTTTTTTTTTTTTAGGATGCTTATTTTCAGATTTCTGTCAAGTCCTCTCCAAAGACATTTCTTCCCACTCTGGGACTGTCAGCAGCAAAAGCTCCTTTTGGTTGGGCTCTTGAGAGTCTTGAGAATCTCTTTACAGTCCTTGATGCAGTGTTGGCCCTCATGAAGGGGTACCTTATTGCACGGTTGTTTTGTTTTTACCAAAAGAGTATCTCCGGTGCGTAGTGACAGGGAACCACTGTTCGTGCACGCATGGCTTGTGCATCATTTATCCTTGTGACTGATACCAGCTATGCAGTTCTTCTCTCCGCTGGGTTTCTGCCATGCAAATCTGCAAGAGCATACCATTTTTCTCTCCCCAGACAGATCTTATGTAAGGATGGAGAAAGCACAACAATATTCATCAAGTGGGATGTCACTCATATTTTGAAGGGATATTTTTGCTCACCAAGAAGGCCTGGAGCTTAGGGTGATAGCTTTTTCTTTATTAGAGGGTTTCTGTTCCACTGGTGGACATTACAGCCAGGGGTCTGAGGATGAACAGACATCTCGGATATACTTCATTTACATATATATAAGAGGGAGACAAAATCTCACCCCGCTTCAGTAAGAGGGTGGCCAGCTTGTGGAATGGATGCATTGATCCCCAGGCAGACTTTTTAAAACATGCATCCCCATGGATTTCAAAGCAGAATGCCAAGATGGAGCAGCCAGCTTTGTTTTGACCCAGGTAACTCTCGTTAACTTTTAAAGGAATATGTCTCCTCCTGGTTGGTGAGATGCATCCTGGAAGCATTATCCAGACTTCTGCAAAATACTGCACTGGAGTGCATGGTGCCTTTGCAGGCACTGTTTTCAGTGCTTAAGTGTTTCTACTGCTGGTTTGGACTTTGCTCTGGGGTGTACACATGGATAGGGACTCAAAAGCAAAGCAGTGTGTTGGTAAACAAAATTTACTAAGAGTTGCAAAATAAAAACTATGTCAAAATTGCCAAGTTTATAATCTTACTGGCAAATCGGTAGGTTGAAAAGCTAGAACACATTTTTAATTCTGAGTGCTGAGTAGAAAGGAAGTGTGTATAGTCCCAAGTGCTGTAAAAGTACATATCGGAGCTTGACTGCAACATGTTTGTCAACAACACATCTCAGGTAAGTTTAAAGAGACAGGATTCTACTGAAGATTACTGGCCATATCATGTGGTGCTTGTGTTAACAGTAAACCAAATTTTTCAAGTTCCCTTTTGATGGCATTACTAAATATGCAGAGAAGTAGTGTTGGATATTTCTTTTGCAGTTCCTTAGTGCTTGCATGTCTTGTAGTTGATTTTGATGTGCCCTTCAACATACATGTTTTTGATGAACACCGTAAAAGTTAGAAATTTGTTCTCCCCAAGTGAGAATAACTCATGCAGGGTAGGGAAAACCTACTTCTTTCTGTATATTCTTTCCAGTAGAGAAGCTAGACTTGATTCCAGAAGATTTTGAGGATCACTTCTCCCCAAACTGCTATTCTTCCAGTGGTAATAAGCGACTCAGCCACAGGCCTCTCCATCTCTTCCTCTGCATGCTTTGGACATTGAGCACAACACTTTCCAACCTTCCAGCCCTCCTCTGTCAGCTTCTCCAAGAACATACTGCAAGAGGGATTTTACAGAATGCAGGTGGAACAGCTGTTAAAGACCTGCCAGACAATGCATAAAAAGTCTGCATTTATCATGGAGTTGAGGATGGAGATTTCAGGTACCTGTGCAAGGAGGTCCCCTTGCCTTTGCCACTCAACTGTGTGCCTCTCTCAAGACATCACAGTCTCTGTTGCATTGTCTCCAGGTCTAAAAGAGAAAGTTTTGCTGGTAGTCTGCTTTCCTTCTCCAGTTCTGAATGGAGATTTCTGGCCATGGACTCATGTCTGCACCTGCAGGGATGTTTATGAGTTCCTAGCTTCTTACTCTCGCCTGTTGTTGCCCTAAGCTGACATGTGCTCTTCAAGGAGTGACTTACTTCCTTCTCTCTTCTTGCTCTGTCAATGTAAACCAGCAATATAGTTCTAGTTATTTTCTGTGGATCAGTTACTTACTAGAGCAGAAGAGATAATCCTTTTCTAATGCTCTGGTTTCTTACAGACTTCATTTAGTTTTTCATCAGACTATGCCAGGGCTGTTTGCCTTGCCAAAGAAACAAAAAATACAGGAGAAAGGTTACAACTTTTACCTTAATGTGTCTGGTTTGTGCTATGGCAGAGTTAAAATATGATACAAGCATGGCTTAGGCTTTCTCAGAATATTTTCAGATGAGTATAAAATATTCATTTGAGTGGCTTCAGCTAGGGGACAGGTTGGAGCTGCTACTGGGGGTGGGGACAAACACCCACAAAAAAAAAATCCCCACAAACCAAAACAGCCCCTGTGGGTGTTTTCTGTGACTTTGGACTTTTAGCAAGACCAATGACAGTTAAATAACACTTTTTTTTGGTTACGGGGCTGTTGCTGCTGCCAGCTCTCCAAACGCGTATCCCACATTAGATGAGACCTAAGCAACAGATTTTCAAATGTAGGTGAAATCTGAATTACTTTGCTCTGCTCATTCAGGCTCCAAGCCTTAGATGAGAGATTCTGATTTGCATTATAACATGGCCGTTGTGCTTAGTTCTGACAATCAGGCAGTGTGTCATGAGGCTGGTCCCAGAGTTTAATCAGTTCCAAATCTGGAAAACACAATAACTGCACAAAAAAAACAGTAGAGCTCTTAGTGCTTTTTGAAAGAGCTAGATTCTGTTCTGTGCTGGAAATTATTCATTCAGAAGCTTTCTCACTGAACCGCATTTCCAGCTTCTGGATATTCCTCAAAGGAAAGAGATGCAATGAAGCCTTCTAGTAATGGAGCCTTGAAAGCCTCTGTGTTACAGCAGAGTACATTCACAACCAGGGATCTTACTGTACAGACAGAGGAGAGACAAGATAGAAGTGAAATTGTTCTTTTTCTAGTGATGAGAGTACATGTGGCAGCCACCTGGTTATCTCACCCAGCTGCAGTAATTCAGGATGTGTTGTCCTGCCCCCCTTGGTTTTTATTTTCAGCTAAGGGAGTATTTTGGAAACCTACCATCCCAAGATGAGGGTGGGAGGAGAATTGATGTGAAATGTCCTCAGAGGTGGTCTCCAAACTGCTGCTTGTCCTGGTCAGATTAATCCTAAATGTAAAAACTTTTCAAGGTAAGAAGTAGTACAGATTTAGGCATAATGGAGCGACAGATTTTAACCTGTATGTAAATTATACTGTTCTCTCTCTTTCTCTGTTTGAAGAAGAATTTTTTCCCCTCTTACCCATCTAAATTAACTGTTGTTCCTTTTTTGCTGCAGCTATTCATAGTCTGAAGTTGAGTCGCAACCATGTGGACTGGCACAGTGTGGATGAAGTGTATCTTTACAGTGATGCAACAACATCTAAAATTGCAAGAAGCGTTACACAAAAGCTGGGGATTTCCAAAGGTAATGTTTTTTCAGAGTTTGTAAAGAATACTGTAAATACCAATATTTTAAATTTGTTACTGGAACAGTAGAGGGAGATTTCAGGTTTGAAATTTTAATGTGTCACTTAGCCCACTTCGGCCATTTCATTTTTCACAGTAGAGTATATTAAGGTCCTTAGGTTGTTGTACATAATTGTAACTAGATGCGAATCGGCTATGACTTGTTTTTATTACATATTTTATTATTATTTTGGATGCAGCAGTTAGCACTACATAATAAATATATGAAAATATTACAGTGGCAGAGTCTAGCAGCTACAATGTAAGAATTACAGATTCCTTTGCAACCTTAACTTTACAGCCTGTGTATTTGTGTGACGCGATGCATTCCTTAAATACATGATCATATAGTCCCCTCACCACCTCTTGCGTTTTTTTCCATTCATTAAACAGAGGAGGGGTGAAGCATTTAGACAGAAATTGTTTCAAGTAGGGATCCAGGCTCATTTAAGGTCAAAATCCAGCAAGGCTGAAACGGTTGGAAGAGAGGATGGTCTCTCTCAAGCAAAAGTTAGATTATTGCCAACTTTGAAAATTGGAACTTGTTCTCTCAGTTGTGGTGCTTCTGTGCACTGCTGGACAGCTACAAAAACAAGAACATACACATTTGTCTTGTTCCTTAGTCTCTGAAGAACAAGATCAGGTGATAGGTTTGCCTTTAATCTCCATGTCTCTGTCCTGTAATTAATGCCCTCTTGCCCCACAGGGCTCTTGGGTGGATAATTAATTAAATGTTTGCCAAAGCTTAATATAATTCAATGCTTCAGTTCCAAAAGCAGTCTGTGTCCAAAACACAATTTAGATATTGTGTAATAAATAATAAGTAAGATCTGACCTAAATGATTTGAAGGGGAAAATATCAAATGAAAGCCCACTGTGTGAACAAAACCTGTCCTGTGTAAAAACTGCCCTTAGCATTTCTGTAGTGTTTTCTTCCTTTTTAAAACCAAAAGAAGTTGGTTTAAATTTTTGTGGAGGGGAATGATGCTGCCTTCTTCTCTGTGACTATCTGAAGGGGTTGCTGGCTTCTTGCACAGGTTATGCCAGGCTGTGATCCTTTATATGGGTCTGTCACTAGAGGGGAGTGAAGACACACTGTGCCAGTGGGTTTCTCAAGCCATTGGTGTAATAGTGAGAGAAAACCCATGTTTGCCCTGGGTAATTGATTTTTGGTTTGGCCACTGGACTGGAGAATGAGTGGGGAAATTTGAGGTTGGATCAGCTTGAAATAAAACACAGCTTTTCCCCATAAAAATGAAAAATTATAAAGCTTTTCAACCAGCTTTCTTAAGTGGGTCAGAGAGAATGACAATGTTTACCAGGTTTTTGGGCAGCTCATTTCCATGATTCCTTCCATGCTGTGGGAGTAAGGTAGAGATACAAGGAAGTTTAATGACTGAGACACAAAGAAGAAGGGTATGGTGTTGTAAAAGTGGATGGACAGCTATTTTCTAAAAAGTGATTTTTGAGAATACTTCTAGAATTAGTTATCTTTACAGCAGAACTGATACAATTAATATCATCTAGTTGCAGATATTTATAAATACATGCTATTCCTTTATGTATAAACTTGTTTTCAAAATACTTTAATGTGTTGGTCTGAGAAAAGTCAAGCTTTTGTCAACTTCATAGAATGTAACTGATCTAGGATAATGTTTTTTCTACAGCTTTAAGTAGTGGGACAAGGCTACATAGAGGCTATGTAGAAGAAGCTACATTAGAAGACAAGCCACCACAAATTAGTCACATTGTGTTTGTTGTGCATGGTATTGGGCAGAAAATGGACCAAGGAAGGATCATCAAAAATACAGCTATGTGAGTGCTTTGTAGTATTTGCAATACCCATCTAGCCTGGTTATAAGGCTGACATTAACAAATGACAGCAGACCCTTTGGTTTAAGCTGTATCTTTTCCTGTTTCCTTCTGCTCCTCTTCCCCTGAGCCTTTATATTGTGGGTACACTATTTTCTGTGTGAATTTGGATGAATGGACTTAGTGAGAGTAGCTGCAAGCAAGAAGACCAAAGATACATTCTGTTTTTATGACCAACACTTGCAACTTTACAAGGGCATGTAATGACAGGGCAAGGGGGAATGTCTTTAAAGTGACAGAGGGAAGATTTACATTAGGTATTAGGAAGAAGCTCTTCCCTGTGAGGGTGGTGAGGCACTGGCGCAGGTTGCCCAGAAAAGCTGTGGCTGCCCCATCCCTGGCAGTGTTCAAGGCCAGGTTGGACGGGGCTTGGAGCAACCTGGTCTAGTGGAAGGTGTCCCTGGTCATGGCATGGGGTTGGAATTGGATGATCTTGAGGGTCCCTTCCAACCCAAACCATTCTATATTTCAAGATATTCACTGGCCTGTGAATTTCTAACACCATTGTCTTTGCAGACAGAGCAGGGAGCAATTTTTAATTTGATCAAAATCAAGGGTAATCTCTGTTGTTATGGCTAGTTGTCAGAATAGTGGGCAAGAGAAGGGAAACAGGGAGCTAGCGGGAATGTTGGCTGTCAACTGGACAGTTCCTTCATGCAGTTAGAAGCTATTGCTGAGACTGTTCATGGTGTTCTGTGCATAGATACCAGTTGAAAACTAAAGTGTGATTGAAAGCTTACTAGATCTTCTTACTGAATGTGTATTTTGAAGACTAGTTTGCAAATGGCTTGTGATTTGACATCTGAGGTAATTCCAAAGGCCAGTTAGGAACTAGATGATCTTAAGGTCCTTTCCAACCCTAACTATTCTACGAACGGGGAGAGAAGCTCCTGAGCTACTGAGACTGCTGTACCTGAAAAGATTTTTGAATATTAGACGAAGTTGTAAAGTCATGATGACAGCATTAATTACAGATCTGTATTGTGCAGATGTTTTAGTATGCATTTCCCAAATAGTTCTATGTTCCATGAAAATTGACAGGAATAGTGACGTACCAGTGACTCCTGTGAACATGCATGTAGAACTGGGATTGCTGATTTCGTGGTAAGAGCTTTGTGAACCTCCCTTTAAATCCAGAATGGCAATGTATGTCAGTGGTAATGTATCATTGCTGTTGTGTGTACCATCGTGTCAGCAGGCTCTTGTGTCCTTTCAGCTCAGTCTTCTGCTCTAGTGTCCTCTGTTGTGGTAGAGCATAACTTGATTTCACTGCTGTGTCATTTGTCATCTCAAAGCAATGACCTGCTACTCCTCATTCCCCTTTTTCTGGCACTTATCTGCTTTTTTATTTGTGTTGTTTAAGAGCAAGCAATCAAACCAAAGAGAAGAGGATCCACAGCCCTTGATAAAAAGCTGGTTAGTCACCAAAATAAATGTAAAAATTTATTTTTTTTAGGATGCAATTACTTTGGAAAGGCAGAGACCCTAAGTATAAGTTGCTGGTTTAACAGCAAAACCAAATAAACCTCCCATCTTGGAACTGTTAAGGTTTTCTATTTTTTCTTTTTCCCTACCTCATTTTCTGTTGAACATACATACAGGGGTTGTACGGGTGGTCTAACTTTAGCTCAGGACACAGTGCATAGGTGTTCATGCCATAAGAAGTCCTGCTTTAACTGGCAGCCCATTATGTGAAATCTTTTATCTACAAAGGAAGCAAGACTTTCTGTGCTTCAGTAGATCTTGCTCATATTCTCAGTAAGTATCAGGCAGTATTGCATAGTCTTTTTAAATGCTAATTGTTGATATAAATTGTGTATCCTTGTACAAAATCTGCAAATTAAAAAATGTTGGGGTTTGTGTTTGGGTTGGGTTTTTATTTCCTTTTTATGGCTTTAAACTTACCAGTAAGGAGCATCCCATATGTTGTAGGAAGAGATTTTAGAAGAAACGGCTGCCAAGCCAGCACAATGGCAGCTCTCACAAGCTGTACTAGAACTTTTTCTTAGTACCTTCATCTGTGATATATGTATGTATTTTTTTTTTATTTTCTATTTTTTCTCTCTCTTTTTTTTTTTCTTTTGCATTAGGGAGACAGGAAGTCAGATGTTGCTTTTTGAAAAATTGTAAGATTGATAAGGACAAATATTTTTTGACTGCTCACATGTTAAAGCAGCAACTAAAGATTTCAGTGTTTTTTTCCTTTTAAATGCACATTCTTTAATTTGAAACATGTAGTTGCAACCATGCTAAATCTGTTAACTTAAGCCATACGTCTGCCCATCAGTGTCACCATTCCTTTCCTCATCAATATGCAGGTACCACCGGGCGGCAGATATAGCAGGCATTATCATCCCTCAGAGCTCATCCTTGCCTTGGGTTGCATGCAGCTGTGAAGGACGTGGCTGTCACTTGTGATGTACAGTTATAATGTGTCCTGGTGTAGGAATCTTGTGGTAGGTGTGTTCCTTAGAAATTGCTTTTGGTTTAGGCCCCATGACATCTGGCAGGAGACATTCCTTGCAGAGAGCCACCAGTCCTCTCAGTGGATGCTGAGACATGGATTTATATGACACTTTTCATCCAAGGCTTTTAAACTGCAGTGTGTTATAATTTGGTTGAAAGCAAGCAAACTTTTACCTAAGAAACATGTCCTGAAAGCAGGTAGTAGTGAGGTGGGGATCGGTCTCTTCACTTAAGTAATAAGCGACCGGACAAGAGGATATGGCCTTAAGTTGTGCCAGGAATGGTTTAGGCTAGATATTAGCAAAAAGGCCTTCACCAAGAGTTGCCAAGCATTGGAACAGGCTGCCATGGGAAGTGGTGGAATCACCGTCCCTGGAGGTATTCAAAAAACCTATAGACATGGTGCTTAGGGACATGGTTTAGTGGTGGGTTTGGCAATGCTAGGTTAATGGTTGGACTCTATCTTAAAGTTCTTTTCCAACCTAAATGATTATATGATCATGTTTTGAGTACAATTTGCTTGAGTTTTATATGGTTGAGAGAGACTCAGCCAGATGCCTGGGTGAAATGCAAGACCTGATGGAGAATGGTGGAGAAAAAGAAAGGATGGTCACAAAGAAAAAAAGGAAAAAGAAAAAAAAGAGTGTGATTCTCTGGGGAGAGAACAGAGATGGGGTGGGTTGGGCAAGGCAAACTCCATGACACATTGCACTTTTTGGTATGGTGCTTGGAGGGGCTCTGGGGTCTGCAGAAGAGAATGGTTCAGGTGCCTTCCCCTTCTACCATCCAAAAAAAAAAAAATCCCTTGTGCATTTTGTCTTTGTCACATATATTTATTGATGATTCTTTATGGGTTCATCCTACCCTGAAATAAAACTTTTTAGCTCAACCTGTGTGAGTGCAACACTTCAGTTCATAGAACAAAAACATAGCCTCACTTGAACAAGTGCTCCCAAAAGAAATAAAAGGAAAAAAGTGCAAAAATACAGTTTATGCCCCAGATGTGGAATACTCTGCCTGTTACCCAGGCCAGTTAGAGACCCTGCCAGAGCTCATTTGATATGCTCTGTCCTCATGTTACCAGCTGGAGAAGAAATTGGTGCAGCTCATGTGATGCATCTGTATCATTAGGCAGATCCTGGTGGTTATAGAGGTGAAAACAGAACTCTCGTTCTAGGGTGATTTAAAATTATATGTGCTAATTCAATTAAGTAATGGAGTTCCATCTAATCGTTATGTGGCTAGATGCTATGGTTGCAGGGTGTCCTGTAAGTAAATAAATGGAAAAGAAGCATTTTATCGATGCTTGAATGAACAGGTCTTTGGTAGATGTGACATAATTTTGTTTTTCCACAGTGTAGTTAAACACATTTATTATCTAAATGTAGACCAGCAGCTGGTACAGCAAGCTGCTCCTGTCAGTGCTGATACTAACTGCAGAACTTGTCTGGGAAGAGACAGTACCTCCTCCAGGCTGGAACAGTGATTCAGCCAACCTAACGTGAACAGAATAATACGCTGTGAGCTGCTTTGGTAGCATAGGGGTGATTATTTAAGGATGAAAATAGCATATTTCTGTATTCCTGTTAATATAAATTAAGATATTATGGCATAATATGCTTAATTGGAGAGGGGGGTTGTTTGCCGTCACGTGCAATATTCTAGCGATAGTAGGTTTCAGATAATGTTAACTTTAAAAAGAAATAATTTTGGGATATCCTTTTACTGTACACACTTTAATATTGTTATTTGGAATATTTTTTTCGCTGAAACACAATGTCTGATTTTGTTGAACTTGTGCTTCTGGATTGAGAGGGTAGGGATTGTCCTTATACATTTAAAATAGAATTTGGGAATGTTACTATCCATGTCTCAAATCTCCTTTAAAAAATCCTGTTGTTTTACCTGGCTTATGTAAAGATCAGACCCTCTAAATTTCATCAGCTCCTGTGCTTGGAAAATTGAATGGAGTAGCTGCTCTGTGTATTTCTGTAGAAGCTGTAATGTTGTCACACTTCTTGGCTGCTCTTACCCTAAAATTGGCATCTGTCTGCCTCTGTCCAAATTTTCTGGTTTGATTCAAAAATTGTATTTGCCTGTGCTGCTGCTCATAGCACAGAACTTGCTGTGTGCAAAAGCAATGTCATTTTGGCATTCCATAATCACCAGTTACATTGTTATTGCAAGTCCCATTAGAAAACATTTTAATTATGGATTATCATTATAATAATTACCTCAGAATAGCTATTTTGGTAAATTTCCAGCAGTGTACAAGCCCTTACAGAGTGCAGAGCCTCTCAGAGGCCTTTCAGTGCATTAAATATGCGCTGCTGAAATCAAGATTCTCTGTAAAATTTTTCCTATAATTTTTAGCTTTTCAGATACTTTGTAGCATTGCCTATTTTCCCTTTAAATGCTTGCATTGCATTAAATACATATTACATGTTTGCTTTCCAGTCTTAAGTGCTGGTAATATT